TCTGCACTTTTCCTAAACTCCCCCAAGTGATTCATGCTCACTAGACTGTGAGAGTTTATCCAGGACAACAGGCTTGGTTTGCAGTTTTTTCCCCAGTCCTTTGAAAGAATCCCTTTGAAACTGTCCTTTTAGGACTGGCTGGCTTTACATCCCCATGAGCTTCCAAAGGTCAGGAAGGACCAAATTTTAGTTGGTCCCCCACTAAAAGGACCCCCAACCCAGGGTCCTTTCCCTATGCTATAGCCACCAAGCCAGGGTTGCTGTCAGGTGGGAGCAGGTGGGGTGGGCTCCCGCTGACAGAGGTTAGGCTTCTGAAGGAAGGGTCAGTCATCAGTCTCTCAGAATCGTCAGACTCCCTTTCCAGAAGGTCCACCTCCTTTTTCTTGCCTAGCACATAGTCCCTCAAAGCTGGAGAATGAGAGCTGGGTAAGCAAGAAGGGCTTGCTATTCACAGCCCAGTGCCTTTATATTCAGCTGAAACCAATTTTGCTTCTCAGTTAAACTCTGACTTAGGCTGAGGGTTTTCCAACTGCAAGCCATATCCTCACTGGCTCATCAACAAATACTGTGCCCCAAATATGTGCTAAGCATTCTCATAGGGTCTGAGCCCAGCAATAAGCAAGGGAGCTTTGCACACGCTGCACTTCCATTGCTGTGTGTACAAGCTGATATGAGGGGGAATAGTAAACATATATGGTTACAAAGGGTAGAGCATCTTGACCTGTCATGGCAATGGTTGCTAGGGGACGATGTAAACCAAACCTCAAACAGCCAGTGTTGACAGCCTGATCGAAGTACTTAAGAGTCATTTGGAGCTATTCCCTTGGGAAAACTGTTGATTGGAAAAAGCCACTGAAAATGTATGGCATGTATGAGTCACAAAGAAAGAGGAAGCTGGGAAGGTAGAGGGCAAATATAGCCACTAGCTAGAGCACATGAAGCAGCTCCTGAAGGGTAATGGGATAGAACAAGCCAAGATGAAGCCTGCTCTGAACCTTTGCCCAGGTCAGAACCAATAATGAATTTAGAGCAAGGTTTCCCAAAGGGGGTTCCATGAAGTACCATCCAAAAAGATGCTCTGTGGGAAAAGGAGTTATGTGGTCAGATTTAGCCGTGGTACCTGCCTGGTCTATTCCTGTGTTGAAAATTCCCAAGGTATAACAAAGGCTCTGAAGTCCTGCAGCAAAAATGCTATATTTGCTAGGCTCCTATGACCAACATCCCTCCTAACATCTACCATCCCACTGAGCTCTGCTGAGCATGCTAGAGACTGTTTTAGAACAACAGATGATCACAGCGATGTAAGAGGGGGCTTCTCAATCCCAGAGACGAAGGGACCCGGGTTAGGGGCAGTAGAGACAGGTGAGAGGCTGGGCTGTGGGGAAGGGTGGGGGCTGTAGCTCTGTGTCCTACCAACATGGCTAATGCACAGTGGTGGCCGATGGCTTTTACAGAGCATGCTCTTGACAGGAAAGGCTTGGGCAGAAAAGCTGGTTTAGTGCCTCTGCATTATGTCTGCCTTCATCAGGGAGGAAAGGCAAACTCCGAGGCCTTGCTCAGATGCCACATCCACCTGGCAGCAGCTTGCTCATTCCCAAGTGACTCATCTCGCAAACTCACAGGTGACAAAGGAGGACAAATGTCATAGTCCTCCTGGGAAATGGGCAAAATAGTCAGTTTTGCCAGTAGGGTAGAAAGTAATTTTTCAGTAGACTCCTATTTGCATTAATGTTGTGCTTTTAAAAACATAGAATTCTCTTCCATTTTATTGCATTAAACAATCCACCAAGGTGTATTTGGCACCAATGGAAACTGAAGCCTGCATTAGTTAAGTCACTTCCATGGTAATAAAGCTTGGTCTGGAGCCCCAGTGTCTTTGTCCAGTGATTTCCCATTGACCAAGAAAGGAAGGCCCTGTAACCCCTGTTGATGTGATAATTTAACAGATATTGAGCTCTTACAATGAATAAGTCAGCCTGTGTTCTAGGCATGGGGACACAACAATGGACAAAACAAATTCTCTCATGAAGCTTGCATCTAGTGGGCAAGATAGATGATACTCAAATGAATGCACACAACAAAATATGACAGGGGTTATAAATGCTTCAGGAAGAAATAAATCATGGTAATGACTTAGAAAAAGACAGGGAGCATTTCTGAGGAAGGTTTTTTTAGTAAAGACCTAAAATAAGGTAGACATAGGCATACAGCAAAAGAGAGAAGAGTGATCCAGGAGAAGAAATGGCAAGTGCAAAGGCCCTGAGGTCCCAATGTGTTGGCAACTTGGACATGGGGGAGGGAGATGAGGCCAACTTGGACATGGGGGAGGGAGATGAGGTTATGGGAATAGGCAGGACCAGATCATGTAGGACTTTTGGAGAGGATTCTTATTTTACTGCTTATGTGCAGAATAACAAGATCTAAATTATAGTTTTGACCCAGTAGTCTATGCACCATTTCACAACTGTGGGTCATGACAGACTTTCTGTTTCATCCAGGAGCTGCCTTGGGGTCTATGTATATGTGGTGAGGTGGAAAGGCAAGGACAGGAGGCTGTGAGTTTAGACACACAGTGCTTGGAGAGTGGTGCACTGCAGAGGCAGGAGGAGAAGAGGAGCCTTTCCTGACCATTGAGTCTCCTCATGGTTTTCCTAGGGGGCCTTGAGAATAAGGTGAGAGTGGTTGGGAAGTCATTCTTCCCTTGGCAGGAGGTTTAGAAGTGTGAGGCACCATAGAAAAGGGGCACACCAGATCCTCTGGGCCTCTCTGGGACTCCGGAGTGGACCCCACAGAGGGGAGCGCAGACACTGCCACCCCTTCAGCCAACCCCAGTCCAGTGTTGGCTCCTTGTTCTTGCCGCCTCCAAACCCTGGCTTGCTGCTTCTTCTCTTGGAAATGTCAGGGAGACTATTTCCCAGCATGGTCAGAGAGAAGGGCTGGGAGAACAGCCTGGCCTACCGCTGAAAGAGAGCTGACTTTACTCATCTCTGGCTGTGGCCACACAGACACTAAATGTTCCGCTGCTTCCTAACGGCCTAACGCTCTTAGAATTCGGATTGCCCTTTGCTCAGAGAGTTCCTGTAATTTACCCAAGACTACACAGCAAGTGTGACTCAAAGCCAGGTCTTTCAAGTAGCCCCTTTAAGTTTCCATGTTTGCCTTTGTGGCCTTTGCTCCCCTCTATTGTCCTTCATGCACGTTCAGCATGTCACGGTGGGCAGTGTTTTCACACAGTCTCTACACCTCTCTCCCTTGGGTTCCAGAGTTTATTCCTTTAAATGGCAGCAGTCTTTGTCCCTCTCCCCACTTAGAGAGTGCCCACATCCGTGACCCATCCCCGCTCCCCACCAGGACTTCACATAGAACAGACTCTTCACAAATATTTGATGAATTAAAGTGTTGAAATTCTGGGGCCAGACTACTTGAGTTTCAACTCCCACTTATGAACCGTGTGACTTTGGGTAAATTACATAACTTCCCAGTGCCTGAGTTTTCTCATCTGTATTTCTTTTTAGGACTAAATGAATTCATCCCTTATAAATGTTAAACACTACAGAAAGAGTTCAAAGATAAATTTTTATTCATTGTATATATCTCATACCTTTTCCCTCATGTTTTTCCTTTTAATGATAACAGCTAACTTTTTTATAATATTAAAATATGCCAGGCCCCTCCGGCAAGCACCTTCCAGGCCTTAACTCCATGCTTGATCTGTCTCCCATGCTTGAGCAAGGCCCAGGCTGGGGTCTTTCTTGGGTTCACAGTGATCTGGTGAGGAGGATTCCAGGGAGGGACCTAGGAGGCCATCTTCCACAGAAGCGGGGATTAGTGGGCCTGGATGATGCTGGCCTGGCCTTGGGCTCTGAATATCTGAGAGGGTTACAGATCCTCAGCTATAAAGAAAGGGTCATAAAAGTGGCCAGACACTGAGCAGGATCTTTCCACTTTGATAAGCTTATTCACCAGGTAATCCACATGTCATGTGTTATGAAACCAAGATTCAGCAACTGCACACCTCCAAGAAACGTGAGGGCTTTGCAGTTACCCTTTATCACGGGCATAAATTCAGGTGTTTAGTGTTTGCCAGCCTGTCCCCTTTCCTGCAGATGGGATGCAGGAAGAACAGGAAGCAGAGGCAGGCCCATCTTTTTCATGTTCCTGCATGTGTTTGTTTGAGGGCAGACATCATTTCCTAGGTCGGGAGACAGCTGAGGTGGACATTCTTGCCTTTCTTGATCCTACAGCTTTATGAGTGTGCTCAGTTCATGAGCAGAATATGTAAACTGCGTGCACTTTTGTATTGGTATATTATACTTCCATAAAGTCTTAAAACATGTACATTCTTGATTACTGCTGTGTTTGTGTTAGGTAAACAATGAACACAACCCAAAAGTCCATACAATAAACTATATGACTGTTCAAATGATGGAAAGCCAGGCAGCCACTACAAATAATGAGATAAGTTACAGGAACTGATATGGAAAGATGTCATGTTAGAATGCGGAGGGAAAAAAGGAAGTTACGGAGCAGACAGCAAGTTACAGATGCAGGCAGCATCTGAAAAGGACAGTGAACAGTGCCAGGAGCTATTTAGCCAATTTAACCTGCAGTTTTACATGGTTCATCAAATACACACACATGGTATATTATGATACACATGTAAATATACAGGAAGAATACCTGCAAAAATGTACTTGAGTTGTTAAATGCAGGTAGATTTTCAGTTTCTCTGCTACACTGTTCTGTGCCTCTTTTCAATTTAATTTTTCATAATGGACTTATATTACTTTAGTAATGAGCAAAAAAAAATCATAAAGACTTTGTTTAGAAAAAACAAACACACAGGCACGCTGAGTACTGCAGAGGGTGTAGCTCTGTCCAGTGAATCAAGATTAGACAACTGTGACGCCAAGGTGTCTTCTGACCCGGAACCTGTAAGCCTGCACTGGACGTGCTTGAGCCCTTAGTGCAGTTCAGCACAGCACTTGAGTCAAACATACCTGTAAAATTTTGGAGTAACTGATCACAATGAGCAGCCCCGGCACCAGGAAGTTCAGAGAGACAAAAGACACATCCCACGAAATCTCTCCAGCAATGCTGGGCCAAACCAGTGTGCAAATCGGGATCTCCTAGTTAGAGAAAAGAAAAGAGCTCTGTTAAGTGCTGGCTATACCTTTGGCCTACAGTTCAGTTCTAGCTGGAGATCAGCTGGCACTGGGAAGCTTTTGTACGGCACAAATGACAGGAATCCCACCCCCTGCCTGCCACGGCACCCTTAAAGAGCACTTGCCTCTGACCCTCAGAGGAGCCACCATCATCATTTCCATTCTCCAGGGCAGGCTCTGCGCCTCAGAGCCTCAGGCTGACAAGAGCGGGAGGCTGACCCTTGGGGATGGGCTTTCCATCTCCCAGGATGAGAGTAAGGGAAATAAATGGAGCACACAGGTTTGAATTTCACACTGTTTCTGTGGTATGAGAAACCGGAAGTGTAAATAAGGACCAAAATGGAGGACACACACTGGGAAATAGGAAGATGGTCAAATGGGAAGGAGAATAAGGGAGGGGAGAGGCGGAAGGAAGGGAAAAGGAGAAACGAGAATAGAAGGGAAAAATGGAAACGAAGCTTTTGTAAATGGGAGGAGAAGAGAAGTTGAAAGGAGGGGACGGGAACGGGAAGAAAAAGAAGAGCCCAGATACATTACACATAGGTACGAAGTCGTTATGATGGGTGTGACCACTATGCACATCAAAAGAGTACCTATAAAGTTGATTTTTAAAAAAGAGAAAATTGACCCAAGAAAGACTGGACAGATTGGAAGTGATGTACTATACCTGAGCATACAGCAACAGGGTCAAGGTTTTAGTACAGTAATACAGTACTTTGTATGCTGAAGGCAACAGGGTCTGTGGTTAGGCATTAGATGTTTACTAGGGAAGGGATAAAGCCAGGCACAATAGCATGAACATGTAGTCCCAGCTACTTGGGAGGCCGAGGCAGGAAGATCACCTGGCCCAGGAATTTGGGGCCAGCCTCAGCAATATAGTAAGACTCCTTCTCAAAAAAAGAAAACAAATGACAACAACAAACCCAAAACAAATCAAGTATGTCAAACAGCATCAAAGAACCTGGCAATCCCTCATTCCACAAAAGTCTGGTACCTAAACTCGGGGCATTCGACCTTTGTTAGGGTTTGTGTCTGGATGTGCCCCAAAGCCTCATGTGGTCACAGGGGAGGGTGGGCATTTTGGAGGCTGCTGAATCCAGAGTTTGTGATAAGGGAGGGAAAGAGGCCTGCTCCTCCCTTTCGCCCCTTTCGCTTTTGCTGTCTTCTCCCACCATGAACTGTTGCCCTTGTGCCACGCCACCCTGTCTTGGAGCCAGCTGATTATGACTGAGATCTCCACAACCTGTGAGCTAAATAAACCTTTCCCTCCTTAATTTTGGATGTCAGGTATTTTGTTCCAGCAATGAGAGAAAAGTATCCAAGGCAAGCTTGTGTATTTCCTGTCCAGAGGAACCCAAAAGAACCCCAAACCAAATTCAGCCACAGCTCTTAGCTCCAGAGAAAACCACTGGAATGTAGCAGAAGAACCTGAAGATCTGTAACCTTACAACCACAGCCTGCTGTGTTGATTTAAATGTTCAACACTAACTACAGAACCGCAATACCAGGCAGGGGCTTTACTGGACGGTTACCAGGAGCTGCTGCAACAGTTTCTTCCAACAAATAAATATGTCAATGAAAGCAAACATACATATCTCTGTGTGTGACTGTTTCTCCCCAGGCAACAAACTTCCTGTGTGCACTTGACTATAGGAACAAAGCTATCTGGAAAACAAGTTGTCCTGAGCATTTCTAGATATGTAGAACAGATTTGTAAGAGCATGTGCTGGTAAAAATACCACAGTATTGCCTGGTATGCCTGTGCACTCCTGTAATCCTAGCTACTGGGGAAGTTGAGGAGAATCATAAATTTGAGGCCAGCCTAGGAAACTTAGCAAGACCTTGTGTCAAAATTTAAACCAGGCATGGTAGTGCATGCCTGTAATCCCAACACTTGGGAAGTTGAGGCAGGAGGATTACCACGAGTTCAAGGCCAGCTTAAGCTACAAGGTGAGTTCAAGGCCAACCTGAATTACAGAGTGAGACAATTACCCAAAACACAAAACAAAGATTCTTAAAAACAAAAAAGCAAAAACAATTTTAAAAGGGTGAAATATAGTACAATGCTCCCCAGTTCCAATCTCTAGTACCACAAAGAAAAAAACAAAGACCACATCATTGATTTTTAGTGGGCAATACAGCTAAACGAATGTCATAGACTCTTCATTTGTTCATTCATTTATTTGGCCAGTATTACACATACCAGGCAGAAGCCAAAAAAATTTTAACATTTATCAACACATATCATAATTCGTTGTTCAACCTTAAAATTCAATTCATTCCTTTTCTTAAATAGTATTAACAGAAAATCGCAGCATCTAATATTCATGAAACATTTACCATGCACTAGGGATCACTTCACATATATTATCTCATTTAATGTTCACAATGACCTTATTGAAATGCACATTATGGGGCTGGGGATTTAGCTCAGTGGCAAAAGCGCCTGCCTGGCAAGTGCAAGGTCGTGAGTTCGGTTCCCGGTACCGGAGAAAAACCAAAAAAAAAAAAAAAAAGAAATGCACATTATTATTTTTCCCATTTCAGAGAGGAAGAGACATTCAGAAAGCTTAGAAACATTCCTAGAACAACAATCTAAAATACAAAAAGTGTGGTTGTTTTTAATCACATTATTTTTCCCAAAGAGCTATGTAGTTACAAAGGACGTCAGAGACCTACTGAGAAAACTCTTCCTAAAGCAAGACAAATGGGGAAGAATATTGGGATAACATGCGTATTTTGAAAAGGCAAATGAGAATGTCGCTTCCACTTCTTGTTTGTTAAAAGCCTGCAGACAGACCAGGCTTGCTTGCTTATTTATTTAAGTATAGACACTCCTCATTTAACAACTGAGTTATGTTCCTGTGACTAGGTCGTTACCTCAGTTGGTCGCTAGATGAGAAATTGTGTATAGTATGTACCTTACGATATTCAGAACAAAGAAATGGTCAAATGAAACTCTTAATTTGATGGCTTTGCTTTTATTTGCATAACTCTTAAATGCAGTGTTTTAATGTATAATAGAGCATAAATTACAGTATAGTACTGTACGGTGTAATCAGCAAGATGTACTGTACAAAAAAAGACATTGCAGCTCTATAAACAAGATGTATAGAACTGTACCCCAAAAAGGTTGTAAATCCAAGCAGTGGATTATAAGTCCAAACAGCACATCTAGGTTGTAAGCAGAAACAGTCATTAAACAGGTAGGTTGTTAATTAAGGAGTATCTGTACTGATGACTGGACCCAGGGTCTTTGCAATGAGCTCATCCCCAGCCCTTTTATTTTCTTATTTTCTTATTTTAAAGAGAAAAGAATAAAAACAAAATAACAAAAACAAAGACAAAAACAAAATAGCTAAAAAAAACTATAAAAATAATACAGAATTTCAAAACAAGATGATACAAAATCAACAATGGTTGTTGTATTACGTACTGTTATCTTCAAAGTAGTTTTTCAGATTACCCAATATAGGTATGTAAGATTGATTAAACAACTAAACATTAATTGTTCCTTTCAATAAACCAATAGAAATTAGTAGTACAATTATCTTAGCTATCTTGTGTAAATATACATATATATATTTCCTTTCCTTTCCTTCCTTCTTGTCTCCTTTCCTTCTATCTTTTCTCCTTTCCCAGCCATTCTTTCCTATTGAGCAGTTTCTTTCCTTTTCACAGTATCTATTGTACATTTCAGATTTCATTTATTCTTTCAGGTTCTTATACTAGGAGACAATACGGTGTTTATACATGTGGGTCTGATTTATTTCACTTATGAATGAGTATGGTCTCTAGTTGCATCCATTTACCTATAAAAGCCTTGAGCTTATCTTTCTTTATAGCTGAGTAATACTCCATTGTATAAAAATACCACATCTTTTTCATCCATTCCTCAGCTGATGGGCATTTGGGTTGTTTCCAAGATTTTGCTATGACAAATTGTGCTGCTATAAATACGGGTGTACACATATCGCTACAGTGTGATGTTTTTAAATCTTCTGGGAAAATACTCAGGAGGGGAATAGCTGGGTTAAATGGGACCTATAATCCTGATTTTTTTAGGAATCTCCAGACTGATTTCCAAAGTGGTTGCACCAGTCTACATTGCCACCAACAGTGAAAAAGTGTTCCTTTTCCCCACAGCCCCTGCAGCACTTTTTGTTGGTTGATTTCTTGATGACAACCATCTTACTGGGGTGAGATGGAATCTCAGTGTTGTTTAATTTGCATCTCTCATATGACCAATGATGCTGAGCATTTCTTCACGTATTTATTTGCCATTTGTATTTCTTCGTGTGAGAAGTACGTATTCATCTCAGATGCCCATTTTTGGATAGGGTCTTTGAATTTAGGGGGGTCTGATTTTTTCAATTCTTTGTATGTTCTAGATAGAAGTCCTTTGTCTGAGAGACAGCTAAAATGTTTTTCCACCCTGTGGGTTGTGTTTTCACTCTATTGGTGACCTCTTTTGAAGTATACAAGCTTTTTAATAGGATAAGATCCCAGTGGTTGATTCTTTGAAGTGTTTCCCATGCAGTCTGGGTTTCCTTTATGAAGACTGTGCCTACTCCTATGTCTTCAAGACTTTGACCTACTTCCACTTCCAGTAGATTTAGTGTTTCTGCTTTAATATTTAGATCTTTGGTCCATTTTGACTTTAATGTGTAGTGATAGACATGAGGCTAATCTTTGGCTTGTAGAGAGCTGGTTTTTCCAGCACCATTTATTAAAGGGGCTATCTTTCTTCTAGTGAACATGTTTGGCCCCTTTGTCAAAGATAAGGTGGCTGTGTGTATTTATAGCTGTGTCTGCATCTTCTCATCTGTTCCACTGGGCCGCAGTTCTATTTTTTTTGCCAGCACTATGTTGATTTTATCACAGTAGATTTGTAGCATAATCTCCAGTCTGGGATTGTGATGCCTCCTGACTTGTCTTTGTTGCCCAGGATTATTTTCTTATTT